GCTGATTGCTGATTGAAAACCGAACGGAGACCCAAATTCGTGTTCATTTTTGGTCCGGAGTGATGGTTCTGGGAAGTGAGTAATTAATTCTTGTGTTCGGTGGGCGGTTGAAATAAAGTCTATATTTCTTTCTCTATGGGTTCTCATTAAAGAACTCGTAACCCATTGGGGTTTAGTGATTAAAATGACTTGAAAAGGGATTGGAAACTCATTATCATATTAAATTGATAAATTTAGTACAACATTATGTATGTTTTTGCCTCGATTTAAATAATCATTAAATTAATTTTCACATTAAAAGTAATTTTTATTGAGCGAGATATAAGTTTTTATTAAGCATTGTTTGTGAAGAACAAAATTACTCGTTATTTAAGACTTTTATTTTTAGGGAAGAATTGGATCTTTTATTTTTAAACTAAAGGTCTAAAACTAATATTATTTATATTCACAAAGTGTGTTAAAGTCGGTCAAATATAAAGCAAATAAATATAAATAAATTTGACTATTATTATGTGTTTATTACTCGAGTTTATTACAATATGTTCAACTTAGGATTTTTGGTTAAACAAAAGTAAAACAATTTATAGATGTTATAAATGAAGTATACTTGGTTATTGACGATATTTGTTAACTTTCATTATTTAACGTTATCAAAGTTGGGTTAACCCACGAATTTTCTGCACTCCGTTTCCTAGGTTGTAAATGCTTGCCATTTTCCATCTTAGTTTTCCCCCGAATTTTCCCCAATATTAACATAAACAGACAGTTTGGTTGACTCACCTTTTTGCCAGGCACAGCGAAGTCTCCTTCTCGTTTTCGCTCGCTCAATTCGGCAGCCAATTGAGCACACACATCAATCAAGTACCTCAACAAGTTTTTCTCTATTTTGTTTGGTCTCTGGCTTGGTTTAGTTTGGATTAGTTTAGACTTAGTTTAGAACGAACGAACGATCGAACGAGCGAACGGGGCGCCGAGCTGCGCTGTAGTTGGCATAGTTATTGTTAAGGAATTTATTGATATTATTGCGGCTCACTCACGCGAACGCCCGAGGAATTTTAGCACTTTGCCAGCCAATTAATGGGTTAACTTTCGAGCTGAAATTAACACAATGGGAATGCAGGAATGTTCGTGCACGGAGCGTAGGCCAGAGGAATGCTCAAGGCAAAGGATAAAGGATGAAGGACAAAGGACGCACATGTGGCAAGTTTCTCTCTGGCATTTTGGGCATGTCTGAGTGAGCATTTAAGACCGAGAGACTGATAAATGTCAGAAGTTATGGTGTTAATGTCGCTTTTATTTAAAACGGATATCGGACAAAGAACAAAGGCGGGTCGAGTAATAAAAAATAAATTAAATGGAAAATGCACAGAGAATCCTGGCCAGAGAGAGAGATAGAGACAGAGACAGAACGAGAGAAGAGAAGGCGCGAATGTGTCACGGATTTCATTGCTCATTGAATACGCATTCATTTCACAAAGGAAAAAGGAGCACAGGACCTGCCAGCCATTCAGGCAGCCGCCTCAATCGAGTCACTCAGTCTGCGTACGTAAGCAGCGAAGGACATTCACACAGATACGGACACACACACATAGGACTCGGAGAGCCCCACACATATACACACACACACTTACACAGAGAAACCAATACAGAGGAGAGTAAGCCACAGAGCCCGCAGAGAAAATCAAAACTACGCGCACACACAGACGAAATTTCTGACAAATTTCCTTGTGTATGTGCGCATTTTGTTGTAATTTGCCATTTTGGCAATTGCAATCCTTCGCATTTTATTGAATTTTACAAACACACACACTCGCAAAACACAAACGAGCCACACACACACACACATGTACACAGAAGCAGGCCACACACCCAAACAATAACAACACTTTTTGTCATAATATTTTCATAATATCCTGCGAGTTTTGACTTTCATTTTTCACATTCGTTTCAAGTTTTTTGTTTACCGCAAAATGTCATTGTTTTGTTTCAGCTAGCTTTGGGTATTTTATTTTATTTTACTAATGCTATTTATGGTGTTTTTCTTTGGGAAAAGCGGAGTTTTCATACGCGTTCGAGTGTGGAGTGTGCTTAAATCGCAGGAGTCACTGCTGCTTGCGGAACCGCCCTAAAACAGTCGGGAGAAAAACTGAAAATGAAAATTGCTGAAAATTTCACCCAAGGCAAGTGGCAGCGGGAAAACTGTGAAAGCTTTTCCACGCTCCCAAAAAAGTACCAGTATTTTCCGTTGGTTGGCCAAGAGCGAGGAAAGCTCAATCAATAAGTCGAGCTGCTCTCTTGTGGCAGGACACCCCCCAGTCAGCCACCCGCCACCTAACCACCTAACCGCCCAACCACCCACCACCCGCTGGGGCCATAGCACATGCTGAGTTTTGAACCTTTCGTCAACCGTGATTTTCCTCTTTTTCCCTGCGTTTAAACAACGAAAATCACACTCACTTTTCCCCGGAAAAGCCCGACCGTTAACCACAACCGTAAACCGTTCACGGACTCAACGCCACGGCGAAATATCTGTGTGAGACTTTTCCTCCACTTTGCACTGGACTCGGCTCGGTTTATCGGCTAATCGTTTTCCGGACTGCGATCCACACGTCTGACTGCCAGCCTGGCCACAACATGAATGTCTGAATGTCAGGTGTGCGATGCTCCACGATGCGTTCCGGCTGAAGTCCTTCGTGACAAGTCCTTCTCCACGTAGCCGTCTCTCCGCCGGAGAAAATGTCCCGATAACCGTTATTTCAACGGACAGTTGGGGCTGCCAACTTGAAGCAGGGTTGCTTTCGATAGCTGCCAGGACCTCCGACATCGCACGGTTGCATTTGGACGCTTTTACAATGCCCCCAAGCTTTGAAAGCTTTTCAGGCCTTATACGCAGCAAAAGTTATTTTAAAATATTTTATTATTTATCCGAACAAATTACTTTTCTAGTTTTTATAATTTCAATAAAATATTCAACTAGAATTTAGGTAATTTTAAAATTTTTTTAACAATTAATTGTATGGTATATTTAACTGAAAAGTATTTGATTTTCATTTTTAATGTTTATAAAACAAATTTATAAAATAATATTAGAAGAGGATAGATCTTGAACAGATTTATATTAAAGCTTAATAATAAAAAGCCCGTACGATTTGATTTGCGTTTGTGCTCCATTTATAGGAGCTTTTTCGTATCGTTTACATGATCTTCAAACTACATAATTAATTTGCATTTTGGATTTTGAATAACCCCTTTGGGCGGGCAACGATGATGGTAATCAAATGGGTTACTCGAGTGGTCGGCACTTCAGTGTCGAGTCCTCAAAATCTGCCAATCAGGCTCATCAATCTGTCAACTCTTTGGAGGAGTAGCATTAGAACACATGGCCACTTTGGCAAGGACAAAGGACCTGCATAAGGCGAGCAGCCTCTCAAGGTGCAAATTAGCAGAGCAGCAGGATAATAACCTAGAGGCTCTCGAAAGGCAGTTCCGATCCCGAAGGCAGCTGCCTTGGACCCGCAGAAACGGGAACTTGTTGGTCCTACTCCTCCTTGCCACCCTATGCGGGTCCCACTGTACAGGAATGCCCCGTGCCAAGGTGCAAACTGCAAGCCGTATCGCTTTTCGAGATCATTTTATTAGTTTAGTTCTGTATTGTTTGCTGTATTTTGATGTTTTGAACACAGATGTTTGAGGCTGCTGCATCACTCCCTTAAAAACAACGAAGGGTAGTTTTGCGGGCATGATTTTACACAATTTTTTGTGCCAGGGGATGGGCTGCAGCAGGACATCTCCTTAAATGCTATATGGCTCTTTTGACGCTTTAAATTGATTCACACCGCGCACGCAACCCCCGCACCTCAAAAATTTCTATGCCGCTGCACCCTCGCATCCTAGTGTATCCTAGTTTATCCTGGCATATCCTGTTCACCACTCGCCTTTTTTCCGTGCTGTCATGCATTTGTATTTGATTAAACATTTTTTACGCGTTTCCGTTGAGGGCATCATTAGTTTTAGCCCGTTTAGGGTTTCACTCTGGTCCAGGGAGCCTGAGCCTGTGCCCAAAACCAAAAACCAAAAACACCCCCACACCCAGTACATCCACCCCGTCATCAAGTTTCCTCGCCCTTTTCCCTTTTCCCACTTGCATCTGTCCGATTCCGAAAGTCCGTTTCCGCTTTTCCGCCTTGCCAGTAGTATAATAAGTGTGTTTTGGTATTTGTTTTAGTCGGTCCCCGATCGATGGACCATGTCAATGGCCCTTAATGGCATTTCATTACCGAACTGCAGCGTTATTTGGGCTTGATGATTATGAGGAATCACCCAAGAAGCACTCATCATTATTGTTTACCAGAGACTTGCAACCCCCACATACTGGTAGATGATATACGAGCACCTCGCCACAATTATAAACCCATCATGGAGGGTTTATTTTCCAGACAACCCAAAGAACAAGAAGTTTCCATTTCCAGTTTTTCGTTTTTATTCAAGAGATTTTATAGTTTACAATTTTTATGGGCTTTTAAAAGATGTGTGTTTGTATAAAAATATTTAACTTAATAAAAAATATTTTCCATTTTTATTTTTTATTTAAGAGTTTCCTGTTTTACAATTTTTATTTATTTATTTACTCCCACAAAAATATATATTTTTTCAGTTTTTATTATTTATTTTTATTCAAGAGTTTTGATAGTTTACAATTTTTATAGCCTTTTTATCTGTGTGTTTTTGTATAAAAATATTTGACTTTAAAAATTTTTTAGCAGTTTTACCTTTTATAAACGAGTGGATTAAAATTTTTATGGGTATTTGTTTATTTTTAAAGAACAAGTAATTTTTTTTTAGTTTTTCATTTTTATTCAAGAGATTTTATAATTTACAATTTTTCTCGACTTTCAAGATTTATTTTTGTATAAAAATGTTTTTTTATAAAACTAAATTGTTTGTTTTTCTAAAAGTGTATCGTAGTTTACAATTTTTATGGGCTTTCCAAAGTTTTTTCTTTTGTATAAAAATATTTACTGTTTATGTGTATATTACGTATAAAAATATTTGGTACAAATTTCTGTTTTCTTTTCACTTATTGTTACTGCACTATGAGCACAACGATGCTCTTGTAAACTTTAGGCTTAGCATTAGTATCACAAAATCTCAACCGATATGGTTCCGTATGATATAGCTTATAAGGTAATTAATTCCTAGATTGAGCGAAAGTTTCCCATTTCGTTGTACTCTGCGGTTACAACCAATTTACATTTACAGATGCTAAGGAACAATAGCGCTGTGATATTGAACCCGATTCAGGGATTTCTTAATTTATTGCTTTAAGTACACAACCGCCGGTTCTGAAGCCTGTGGCTTTTATAGCTAGGTTGTACTGTTAAATACTTTGACTGGTAGTGAGACGCTGGTCCAATGTCCGTTTCTATGCCTAACTATAGTAAACTAAACTAAATTAAACAGAGAATTAATTGATTTCTCTCCCACTTAGGTGACTAAAAATGACTAGAGTTCACACTCGACTTTGGTTCACCAACACTGGGTTTGGATTTTTGTTTAAACTAGGATTTTTGGTTTTGCATATTTGGTTTGATTCGAACTTAAAATCTATTACTGCACAATTTTGCCTGAATTTTGGTTTCGGTATATAACCTGAATATGACTAAAGCTGTATCCGAAATTGAAGAATGATATATGTTTGTACAAAATAAGTAAGATGGAAATGAAGCTGACTTATAGAAATTATTTACCTAAAATGACTAGAAGGAATGCAAGAACTTATGACTAGAATAACACGAGTTATTTTGGTAAAAGCGAAAAAAGGGTTGAATATTAAGTTGCTTATAAGTGAGAAGATGAGTTAGGGGAAAAGCAGAGCTTGAATTTTATATAGAATAAAGATTATCGGGGAAAGATGAGTCATGAAGAGTGAAATTCGAATGTTGACAGTATTTTAAAAGGTGAAAGGTGAAAAATGACTGATGAAGGAGTTATTAGAGATGAAGTATGAGAGTATGTATGAAAAATGAATGAAATATGTGTGACAGAGTAGTATATAAAATGTTAAAAAGCAGTTGGTATTAGAAAAAGTTTACAGAGTGTTAATATTGAGTCTTTGGTATTTTTATGCTAAGATTATATGACTAGTTAGTACCAGATAGCCTGTTCAAATGGTTAGTAATGAATTTTTGGTTGATTTCTTTGGTTTTACATGTTCAGTTCATTGCACTCCCAAAAGTTCCTAAACTAGCTAAAACTAAACTGACTAGAAAAATGCCAATAATGACACTTATTTTTCGAGAGATCGTATTGAAGCTGACTAGTGCCCAGATGCTTTGGTTTCACTGACTAGAACTAAAGTGTATATGGAATGCGGACCGAAGTACGGATACAAATCAGAGTCTGACTAGAATTGAACTCATTTTGCGAACGAAACTAAATCGGTTTAAGAACTAAACGTTATAGCTAACTAAGTGTATGAAGAGGAAACGCAAATTTCCATTGAATAAAACTAATTCTTTGGTCTGTTTCAGCTGCATTATTGACATTAATTGAGTGATGTCAATAACTAATAACTAAACTTAATAGTACAAAAATCTCACTCGATTTCAATGGGCCATGGTGGTGTGTTGGATGACGGAGGCGCAGTTCCTTAAGTTCGTGAGGGCAGCGGCGGCAATGCTTTCCTCCTCCGTAAGACCATTTTCCACGATCTGCAGACGACCATAGCCGGCGGATGAGGCGGAGGAGCTCGAGTCCGAGAGGTAGTCATTGTCGTAGTCGTAGCTACTCCTGGCAGTGGCCCCCGCCACATAGACACCCTCATCGGAGTGGGAACTGCTGGCCGAGGAGGAGGAGGTGCTGGATCCCGCCTGATTGAAGTGGAAACTGCCTGTTATGGTGGTCGTACTGGCTGGCGGCAACATTTCCACTACTTTCTCCCCTGATTTTTCCCGTTTCTGATGTGTGAGCTGATGCTTTCGCAGGTAGGCAGCCCTCTTGAACTTCTTGCCACACTCCTGGCAGTCAAATGCCAGATCCTCTGTGGCCGACTTCTTCTCCACCTGCTGCTGTTGGTTGGTGGTATTGCGATTCTCCTTTTTGCCGGCCTCCTTTCGGGGCTTATGCCAGCGGCGATGGGAGGCCAGATTGGCGGGGCAATTGAACTGTTTGCCGCACTCGGGACATCGGTACTCCAGCAGGACTATGCAGGCACACCGATGGCGGGCCAGGCCGAAGGCATCCTCGAACTTGATCTTGCACAAGCGGCAGACATAGTCCCCAATCACATTCTTGATGGCCGCCAGCTCGGCTTTGGTTTCATCTGTGATCTCCACTATGTTGTACTTGGGGTCGATGTCGCCATTGCTGTACTGCATGGAGCCATCGGTGATGTCCTCGAGGGGTCGTATTATGGTGCCCGAAACTGGTGAACTGGTCTCCTCATCGAACTTCAGTTTGCGAGTGGCCTTATTGCGGGAGGGTTTCGCCGAGGAAGTGCTTGCCTTGCTGGTTTTGGGTGCCGTTTCCTTTACTTTAACAGGTTTGGCTGGCGTGGCCTCTATTGCTGGCTGTGGCTCCTCCTCCTTCTCCTCCAGTTTGGCCATTTTGGCGGGCTGTCGCCGGCAATCATCGTCACAGCTCAATTTGCGCTTTCCCGATGGACTTTGCGGTGGCGTTGGGGGTTTTAGTGGCAACTTCTCCTCTTTGACATCCCCTTCCTGTGCAATTTCCATCACATTTTCGCTATACACCTCGGCGAATGTGGCCGCCATGGGCACATCGCTTTGGGGCAGCGGCGAGGGCAGCTTCACCGTCAAATCCAGGGGTATTTCGCACCTGGTTTTCAGGTTCAGATAGCGACTGCGGTACTTGGGCGGCAGCGAGGCCACCGTGGTCAGCAGACCCAGCCCATGGGGCATGCCCTTGTGCTGCAGCTGGATGCCAATGCTGTGCGGGTGGTTGAGCTTCTCGGCTTGTGTCTGCGTCTGCGTCTGTGTCTGGGCCATGGCATCGATTTGGTTAACTTAAAACTTGAACGTGGGCAAACAAAAAACGTAGAACGTAGAACGGAGAACGTAGAACGTAGAAAACGTAGAACGGAGAACGTAGAAAACGTAGAACGGGAACTAAGCAAACTTAACAACAAACTGATAACGCTGATCCTTGCGGACTGGACTTTAATAGAAGACCACCAGTCGGCTCGACGTTTGTGCTGCGAATGACGTTCACTGGCTGCGTCGTCGGCTATTTATGTGTGCCACACGGGCCAAAGGAAAGCGAAACCAAACCAAACGAAATCATTGTTTGTGCCGGCGTCGCTCATTTCAACCCCCTTTTTCGGGCCAAGTCGTTGTCCTTTTTCGACGTCGGCAGCGAACGTTTTTGAACGCCGGCAGAGCCGCAAAAGCCGGAATCTTTTGTTAGCAATCACACACACATTAGTCACCCTTTTTTCCACAAGCACACACACACACACACGCATATACGTTTATAGCACGGGGAGCTGTTAGTGAAAGTCCCACTACGCATACACACTCGTACACATACACATACACAGCAAGGACAATGCACTCGGAGAAATCAGTGTGCGACAGCTGTTGTTTTGGGCCACGAATTGCCACGCACCAAAATCGCAGGCAAATATGAACATATATATTCTGCGGAAATCGGAGCTGCACATTGTCCTGCTCTTTTCTTCAATTTTTGCCAAAACAGCTGACATCCATGAAGTCGTTAATTGAGCGTGTAACCATAGGGTCGGCGGTGAGGGCTCCTCAATGGGACAGCGGGTATCCTACCGCTCGAAGGAGAATTGTGTCTTTGTTGCCATTTGGCCCAAAACAGCTGTTGGCAATTGGATGCAAGATGGTTAGGGAAGGTAAACAATGTAACAAGTAAGAATTCTACGACCCTAGAAAAAAGATCATGCTGCAAACATAACAAATCAAAACTGCTCAGCATTTTAGCTGAATTCATTAGAATAATTAGGATTTATTTTGAATTTTAAACATAACATATAAATTTTTTCTTTTTTCCAGTATTAAGTGTTGTATGTATATATTATATATATTAAATTAAATATTTTTTCGATATGGTTTCATGTTTATTCCGTGCTTAATAAATTTATTTTTAAACAGGTTCTTAATATAAACCTATTTTTACCTAAAAGCTCTTAAAATCTTCTCCCAAGTTATAAGTTACTTTGAGCTACCATAAATATGTTTTATATTTGATGTTTTTATATTTGTTTATTTTATTTTAAATAATATTCCAGCGCAGCAAGATTACACTTATATTTAAAGCGCTAGTCAAGTCAATGGGAGATACAACATTTATTTAAACTATATTAATTATAATTATATATTTTTCTTACTTAAGTTTTGAATCTATTATTTTTGATAGATAATTAATTAAACATTGGCATTTTAAGCTATTTTTCTAGTACTAGATTTTAATTTTTTTTCTTTCGGAAGATAAAATCATGGTTTTCATGTTTATTTTTGAAATGAGACTTTTTATCCAAGCCTTGCAAAGAAAATTAAATAGACCTCAAAGATTTTAATCCTTAAAACTTAAAATATATTTTTATTTAATAAAGCTTTTTCGTTAGTTAGTTTTTATTAAATTTATTTCAGTGTAGTTTAGCTGGCACTGCATTTATCAGCTCTTTGCGGCCTCAGACGGCGGCTAAGCTTGTCAAGTTTGCTTTTGGTGGGGTAGGTAACAGACCGACAGACTAGCAGACTAACAGACACAACTTGGGTTCGAACTTCGAACTTCACCACCGAAACACAGGGCACAATCCTTGTAGCCATATATCCTTGTATCAGTGTCGGCGTCTGCGTTTGCGTCTGTGTGGAAATATCCTGGGCACACACATCTGTGTCGGTGTGTGTGCTTTGCATTAATGTAATCGAAATGCGTCGCCGACTGAGTCGGCAGTGGTTGCCATGAAAGGGAATGCACTTTCGATTCCCGTCGAGGCCTTTCGTCGCAGGACTTCGCTCCTGGAAATATGGCATATTATGTTGAACACGCCGCCATTGTTGTTGTTCTTGTATTACGGTAGGCACGTGCATGGCAACGAATGCCACCCCAAAACGGGCTGACAAAGTAAACACTGAAAGAAAAAATCATTGAAATTTGCTGCATTTTAAATCACAACATATAAGTATCTAAGTGATCAAGATTGTAAATTAATAGACATTAATAGTGTTCTGATTAAATTGGTCATTTTAAAATCTAACATTAGACTAATAGTTTATAAGATTAACCGCAAATAATACAATGTCTCAACATAGATAGTAATATAAATATTTTGTTAGATTCATTTTATGTTTAATTTGGTTTTTATATTTGCATCGTGTTTACTTATAAGATGTACTTAAATATCTTGCAAGTTTTATATATTTTTGTAATATTTTTCTCAGTGCACAGTTGAGAGTGCAGAGTGTATTCCCAAAGCGATCCACTCGCAGCAGGGTGGCCGTTCCATTCGGCAGGGGAATCGATGTTGTTTGCCATGCAGCTTAGAATTAAAATAGCGCACGCATCCGAGGCCAAATCCAAGCACAAACTTGGCATCGAATGAATCGGAGAAGGCAACAAAAGTCTCAGAAGTGCGCCAGCCACGCGAGCATTGTCCTTTCGTCCTGCCGTCCTGCCATCCTGCCATCCAGAGGTCTTGAAAAGCATCGCAGATACACGGAGGCTGCGAATTCCAACCCCGCCGGGTGGCAAATGTCCTCCCCTCCTAGCGATGCGTTGCCAACTTATCCTTGTCACTCACAAATGCCGCCTTATTTGCGATTCGATAAAGTGAGAGAAAAAGGACACGAGAAATCAAGCCATCAACAGAATGAAGTTTGATTAATCTGGGACGACAAGCCTATTCAAGCGGATTAGTGCGTGTTGGTTAGAGGTTTCTCCACGGTTATCATTATCCATCAGTTCAAAGTGCACTTTTATTATTTCTTATGAATATGATCTCTGCACTTAGGAACAATGAAGACTTCCGTCTCTTAAATTGATTTAATCTATAATCTCAAAGCATTTTCCGGCAAATACGCTTTAATTTGATATGTTGAAAGAGTCGAAAATATGATAGTATACATGGTTTTTTTTTCACCAAAAAACAAATTGTTTTCTTAACTTTCGTAGTTTATAGTTGGTCTATTTTCACTAAGAAATTCAAGAATATTAAAAATAATGGTAAATTCTAAAAGCGTTTAATAAGATAATATTAAACTTTTTTAAAACTGTATCAATACTTGACACCAAATTTAATAAGTTATAAAATGCAATTATAAAGAAGTTGAGAAATTGTGTATTGAATAGGTTAAAGAAAACAAAAAGAAATGCGATAAAAAATAAAACTTAAATTTATTGTTTGTCAATATAGTAAAAAAGCAATATTTTCTCCTTTTCCAATTAAATTGGTTTTGACCCCTTAAAAATATTTCCTTTTTTTTCTTAGCGTGTACCGTTTGTCATCTCATTCGACTGCTCTGATTTCTGCGCTCCAAGGCGTTCTTGGCACAAATTTGCACTCGACAAACACCCACGAAAAACCAACCGTGCAGATTTATATCGTCCCCCGACAAATCAGCCACATGTCCCCCACAGAGAGGTACGCATTTTGTTTGTTGTTTGTTGTTTGTTCCAGTGCTAACCCTTAAGTGCATCTTTTTATGGTAATTTCAAGAGCAGCAGCGGCGATGTCCTGGCTGGCATGGCCATCCTTGTATCCCTCTGGCGGCTCCTTGGCAATAATTAATGTTCGAAAATGCATCGTTTATGCGGCATAATGCATTTTCATTTTCACTTGCAGTTCCATTTCCATTTCCATTCTCGTTTTCGTTTTCATCTGGCTGTGTGTGTTTGTGTGTGTGTGTCTCAAAAGGCTTTTGAGCCAGCACAAGCCGCGTGCACTTTTGCTTGGGCAGCTCCTCAAGGATCCACTCCACTTGTAGCACATGTTGCCGTTGCCGTTGCCGTTGCCCAAGCTGCCTTTTTGGGGGTTCAGACTGAGTCCTGTACTGTCAATCCGGTGGAATGGAAAGGAAAGGATTTATCCACTCTTCACGGCCTGCCACTGAGCTGTAATTAAATTTTTCGCTTTCATAATTTCATGCAATTTCTGCTTCTGCTTCTGCTTCAGCAGGAAACTTATTCGGTTTCCAGGGCGTGAAGGTTTTTTAATTGCATTTCATTTGTCTGGGGAAGGAGCGAGAAATCTGCTACCAATTTGCATTACTCCATTGGGTATTAAAATTGAAAGCTCCCAATTTGCTGTATCTCCGGGAGATTCCACTGCCAATAAGCCAATCACAGCATGTGTGGCTTAATAAATATATATCCCATTGAGTTTAGGGAAAGCTTATCCATATTGAAGTGTACAAAAATACTCGAAAGTAGCTGGTGGCTGAAACTAATGGAATCGAAGTTCAAAATTGTTGTTTTATTTTTGTATTAAGTTGCAACTTAAATATTAAATACCTTAAGTATTCTATCAAAGAAGTTAGGTTTCTTTATTTTGAAATTTAAGAAAATAAAGCATCTGTCTTAAAAATAAAGCCTCTAAATGATCGATCTGCCAATAAAGCAATGTGAGGTTTAGGGGCTATAGGTAATTTACATACTTATCCACTAAAAAAATTAAGCAAACAACCCCTAAAAAATTCAAATTAAAAAAAGAAAGGTAAAATCCCATAATTATAATAATAGTCCTTCAGCACAAATTTAAATATTTACAATTACAATTTTTTAGCTCCCTTAATCATATGCAATTTGCAAATGCAGCTATAAATTTTAGGGGTGACAACACTTCTAATTGCATTTCAGATGAGTGATGACGGGTTGCCTTATAAGTCCATAACCGAATTACTTTAACCAACTGCATCTTAAATTGAAATTTTTGTAGGCCAATTGCAGCATGTGTGGCTAGCTTAAGACAGGACTATTTATTGGGCTTAAGGAATTTGCTCGCAAATCCCACTCGCAGTAAACAAAACTCCCCGAAAAAGGTCGAGTGACTAAACCCAGGAAAACCTGGCATAATTATGGTCGTATTCCTCCAGTTGTGCAGCATGCATAAATATAAATACACACAATAAATTTGCGCCGCAGGACACAGAAACCCACAGAGCGAGTGTGATAGAGACAGAGAAGTAAGAATATTTATAGGGGAAAAAAAAAACAATCACA